TCTGTTTTTAGTAGAATCGCATTCACTCCTCGCTCCTCCCTTTCCTCTCTTATCAACCGTTGAAAGACTTTAATTATCAAAGAAAAAAAGACTAGTGCCGCAGAGGTTAACTTCGTCGTCGTCGTCATCATCATCTTTATGGGTGTGTGAAATTTTGCAGGTGTCAGATTGGAGTCCCTTTATTGCCGCCGTCGCGGCAGCGAGCGCGATTTCGGTGTCATCGGTGTCGGTATCACCATAATGGAAGAGGGAAGGATTGTAGTCATCTGTATAATTGTTAGGTGGCATAAGCCATTGTGCCGACGAACCTGAATCCGAACCTACAAGGCGGTTGGCCGCGAACCTCGTAAGAAGGTCCTGGACTTGTTGGGGATCCCCTTCACTGGACGGTTTAGCCACAGGCTGAGAAATGGTATTGTTATTGTTAGCATTCAAAGCTGCATCCATGGTGAAATTTCTCTGAGCTTGAGTGGCGCCAAACTCTATCGAAGGAGCACTGGAACCTTGGGGGTTACTTAAGCCCCCTGAAGTCGCCTGCTGCAGAAAGGCAGAGATATTAGAAGTGCCGGAGGTAGGCCCCACAGTTGCAGATGAGGCCTCCTGTGTCTGCTGTTGGAGACCAGTTACAGTGTTAGAATGGTGATTTTGAGATCCCATATTAGTCGAATCGCTAGGCAGCATGATGTTGGCTGCGTTGAATGCTCCAGGCAGTGTTTCGGGCTGCGTCGTGTACATGTGGCTGTCGTTGTTGTTCATCCCAATGGTTACGGAAACGAGGTGTTGTTGCTGTTGCTGATGCTGTTGTTGCTGTTGCTGAAACTGTTGTTGCTGTTGCTGTTGCTGTTGCTGAAACTGCTGTTGTTGTTGCTGTTGCTGAAACTGCTGTTGCTGTTGCTGTTGCTGAAACTGCTGTTGCTGTTGCACAGCTAACATATTAGAATACGACTGTTGAGTAGCAAATTGGTTGTAAAGCATAATATCCGTAGGTCCTGGAGTCGTCGCGACGGGTACGGCCATCACTTGTCCATTTGCACCCATTACGTATTGATAAGACACACCACCGTATGAGGTAGAATTGGGTGGTAGCATCAGGTGTTGCTGCTGCGGCGGCGGGGGAACATGTTGTTGATGACGGTGATGAGGGGGCGGTGGCGGCGGCGCTTGGTTAACATAATGAAACGGAGGTGCCTGATGTGGGTATGTCATACCCAATTGTGACGGAGCCCCACATGTGTAGGCCTGTCCAGCAGAATTCTGCATCACTAACTGAAACTGTATATTGAGTGGAGTAAAAACATTCTGCGAGTGTAACAGAGGTGGTTGCTGCACACACATTCCATGTGGTGGGGCCATATAGCCCATTCCTGGGTTGTACATTAAGGGCATAGGCGCTGAGTTTGTACTTTGCATGACGGGAATGCCGTTTCCTCCCATCTGAGTAGAAAATAACGGAGGAAGCATAGAGGTTTGCATTAGGGTTGCTCCAGTTCCTGGGTTGGCTCCATGGGGGTTATTTGTACCACCTATTGGTAGCGCTGCGGCCGCCGCTGCCTGTGCATTTTGCAAGGCCTGCTTGTGCTGTTCTTCCATGGCGGCACCGCGCTTCAGCCAGGTCTGTATTGCCGCGCTAATAAGCTCGTTACCAAATAGACGTTCATCCTCTTCATTCTGGTCCAAGTAATCCTGCAATGCCTCGCGGTAGGACTGAAGCAGGTGGCGACGCTCTTTCATTAGGGGTCCAAGGTCACAGCGAACGTAGTTGCCCTTAACCGTCTCAAATGCTGCAGTTTCCGTTACATACTTCATGAAACGTGCGATTACACCACCCTCAAAGACGACTTCCACCCCATACTTACCCGTGTGGTGCTCGAAGAACGAAAACTTTGGCATGCGGGAGGTGGTTTGGCGATATATATCATCCTGTTCACGTGCCGCGCGCAACTTCCTCCCTCCACGCTTACGTCCACGACGGGAACGACGGATCGCGGATGTACTAGTGGAGCCAATTACTCCTCCATTGCCGCCGCTATCTGCAACGTTCTTCCCTTCCGCATCCACCCCTTCTCCTAGAAGGTCTACATTCAACGAATTCCTTGAGCTCTCACATGTGTCAACCAAATCTTCAGCCGGTATAGCAGCCGCACCGCAGTCCTTAGAGGTGTTGAGATTCTTGCTGGAGGTTGATGCAGTAGCAGGTCTGTCGTTAAAGCCAAGCTTCTCAACGTACTCGATTAGCGGAAACTGTTCGTAAAATACCTTGAGCTGGTGATAACGCTCTGGGGATAACAAAATATGCACATTAAGAATCTGTAGAAAGTTATAGTACACTTCTTCGACATCCTTACTAGAAACTGGCTTCTGCCACATGCTGCACGTCATAAACTGGGAACGGAAAGACATGCTGGCAAGAAAAATGATGGGTTCAAGCAAAAAGCGGTATTCTTCGTCATTTTCTAGTATGATTTCAAGGTAGATGTCACAACCATCGTCAGAACAGGAGCCCAGGCGTGGAATCTTATGAGACGCGGAGGCCGACGTCCCTGGTAAGGTCCCTGGTGAAGGCACAACAGGTGGCGCTACCGGCGAAGGAGTTTTAGCCTTGGTTTGTTTTCGTGCCCCTGTACCACTTGTTGCCGCGTTTGTATTGCTGGACGAGTAACTGGCGCGTTGCTGCTGGTAAACCACTTCATCCGCACATTCTAAACTGAAGCAGGACAAATAACCAATGCAGTGGAGTCTCCTCCCTTGCAAACTGACCCATTCAATGTTTTTGGCACCGTTGATGGTCTGAGGAAACGTACCTGCAGTATTCGGGGCGTTTGGAGCACCACTGGCATCGTTATTTCCGTATGACTTGCCACGACCTCCACCTTCAGGCTCAACAATACAAATGGCACAAGGGACAGGTCGCATAATGGGTGTTTGATTTGGATCAAAGGGTGTTTGTGGGATGCCAAACGCTTTACCAGCTCCATTAAAGCTAGACAAAGGGTTAAAGTTAGGTTCATTGAAATTTTTGGGGGACATGTCTCCCTCAGATTGCTGAGAACCTTGAAGAACCTTAGAGGGGTACCACGGGGCTGCCACATTAAGAGTAGAGGTGCTCGCTTTTATATTTGTCGGTGTGAATGTCTTGGTTGCAGATACATTCGTGGCCTCCTGACTTAAACCAGTGATCCCACTAATGTTGGTCGTTTTCGAGTGTTGAACTGTTGCGGCATCCAGATACTCCTCGTCTTCAGCACGTTTTTTAGAGTCACGAATTGCCTGAATGGCTGCAACCTTCTCCTTCACAGCATCAAGACTTTGGTAGATGACACGAGTACTTGTATAGAACGAGGACTCAATCTCACCCAAAAAATGCTCCATCTTCTTATACGCATTCATAGCACGAATCTTGTTTTGTGCCTCATCAGTATTATCATTGCTATGACTGTTCTCAAAACTTCTAAAGCTACTGCAGCTCACCTCAGTCAAGTTCACAGCATGCTGAGACGTCGCGGCCGTAGAGAGAGATGAGGCGGGTGGTGTCGCCACGCGCGAAGTTGCCCCAGAGCTCGCATTCGTATTATTACTGTTAAGACTCCCGTGATGGTTGGCGTTATTCATTGCCTCCTGCATCACGATAGCAGCCAGTTGAGTCGAGCGAGGAGGTGCCTTCAGATAATTCTCTATAATATCATCCTTCAAACGTCTGTTATTGTCATTAAAATACCGCCTTAGCAAAGGCACCAAGCATAACTCAGTTGTCCCACCATTTTTGGTGGGCTGAACTGATGTTGTAAACAGGAAGCCTGGGGCATCATGTGAAGGAAATCCACCCATAGAAAAGGTCGAAAAAAGGGTGATGCCCTATTATTTATTATGATTAATAATTTGAACTCTTTTTCGTTCAAAGTGTTAGTATAAAATCGCTTATACTTTATATATATATATATATATACTCACCTATTATAAGTATATATATAATAGGTGTAGGTAAGAATTATATCTACTAAATTTAAAATCTTTTGAGAGATTAAAAA